GAAAGTAGAGACAGGTCTTCAAACACTGAATAGGATGCATAACCCTTCTTGCCGGTTATTCATGGAGCACAGCAAAATTCTACCTTTAAACTGTATTCAAATGCAAAGAAGAATGTTAAGCAATGTCTACTTTGGGGATAAGAGACTTCAAACTCAGAAGCTATTTAGAAAAAACAGGCAGGTTCAATTCTTTGTGCCCTGAGATTCAAGGATCTACTCCATCCACACAGAGTTTGGAGTAATGCTTTGTGCTTTGTGACTAGACATCACTTTTATAATACACAGACACTCCCCATTTTATCAGAAAGAACATCCATTTCAGCCTTGGAAGGGAACCTGTTTTTGTGTGAATTAATCTGTCCTCAAACATTGAGGGATGGGGCTGTGTCTACAGGACAGTGTGCAGAACCTGTGGTCCAATCATGGTCCTCAACTTGCCAACATCTGTCTCCAGGGATCACAAAGGAGGGATGGAAAGGGGAAACAAAGGAAGACGCTACAATGCGTGATAAGAAATGTACTCTTTATCTTGCCCATGTAATTGTAACCCCTCTGTACAGTATTTTCTCAATAAAAATAATAAAGAAAAAAATGAATTCCCTCAACAAGTAGTTTTCCAAGGCACAGGAGGCGCAGCAGCCAGACAGTGTCGTGGCCCCAAACAATAGCACTTGGCAACACAATGGACATTACAAGGCAGTGCACCTGCCTCAGTCTTTTCCTTAATGTGGCCAGATCGTAGGCACTTGGGGACGCCTGCTTCCACAAAAACAACAGGATTAGGAATTTGAAGCACGTCAGAGGCTACATTGTGAAAATGGTACTATTTTTTATTTTTAATTTTATTGTAAAGATGCTGTACAGCGGTGTTACAGTTACATGATTAAATCAATAAGTACATTTTTTGTCAAGTATTGTTACCCTTTCTCTTATTGTTCTCCCACTGTCCCTTCCTATTTTATATTATTTATATTTTTTATCCTCATGCTTGTTCAGCTTCCTCGCTTGTCTGGTCCTCTATAACATGAGCCACACCTCCAGTCCACCTTCTTGAATGTTAGTTGGGATTTGATCATGATCCTTGACATCTTCAGACTCCTGTATGGCTAGGAATATAGTCAGGAGACACTAATATCTGACAAATGTTTTCATGATTATATATTCATTCTATGAGCTCATGACAGAATTTGTACTGCTTCTTCATTTTGCCTCAGTCCAAGTTTCCATATTGGATAATTAAAGTATTAATAGTTGGGGCAACCATAAAAACATTTCACAATTTTAGTGTTCAGAGTAGGAATTGTTTTGTCATATATTTGATTACTGGAAGGGGAAATAATGTGTCTGTACGGCTCTGACAAAGCATCCTGTTCTTCAGCAGGTTTTGATGAAGGTCCACTGAAATTTCAGCCATTGCATTGAGACAAATGAACAGTGGATCTACTCTTGTGTTAATCTGGGAAATCTACATTTCAACTATGTACTCCTTATTGTGGGTGCTCTATATACAGCCTGGAATGTGATGAAGTAAGGTTCTCACTAAGAGCTATAAACCTTGACAGGATCACATTTTGCTCATCAGAAAATTAGTCATTCTGTCCCATTGTACACAGAGAAATAAAAAGAAATATGTGATTAAGTGCCTAATTATCATGAAGAAATAATTTAGGTTTCCTACTTAGATTGTAAAAATAATTCCATGGAGTTTTATATTTACATTTTTAGGTATAAACATCTCTGCTGTTATTCAATTTATTTTTTTAAATGTTATGAGCTCACTAACTGTAAGAAATGGGTTTTTTTCTCTGTGTCATTTTTTTAACCATGATCACTCTGATTAGTTTATTAAATCCAAAACAACATTTCTATTATTTTTGTAAATTTTATTTTATTGTAAAAATGCTGTACAGAGGGGTTACATTTACATGAGGAAGGCAGTGAGTACATTTCCTGTCGAGCATTGTTACTCTTTCCCTAGTTGTTCTCCCTCTATCCCTTTCCTCCCCCACCACCCTCACCCCTTCACCCTCCCTTTCTCTCCTCCTTCCCTGAAGTTATAAAGTTCATTTCCAATATACTCTCTTGTGGATATGTTGCAATGTGTCATCCTATATCTTTGTTGCACAATTTTGTTATTCCTCTTCCCCTCTCCAAATTAGACAAATGTATATACAAGATTCAGGGTATCAAAATCAAGTACAGTAACAACAGGGGTTATACCATAGGGGGAAAATATACAAAGGAAACAAAATAATCACATAGTACATTAAAAATAACAACAATAAAGTAAGACCTCTTGTGCCCATATCTTGGGGTTCATTTCACTTTGCATCATGTTATATGGTCATATGTACATAGCTTTTGAGCTTTTTCTGCTCATCTGATAAAATTGTTGTATACATACACTAATTATTGTAAATGAGGGAAACCATGGGAATTATATTTCCTTGGGTCTGGCTTACTGACTGTCTTTTTTTTGCCAGTCCTATACTTGAACTCAGGGCCTGGATGCTATCCCTGAGCCTCTTTGCGCTCAAGCTTAGTGCTCTACCACTTGAGTCACAGCACCACTTCTTTCTTTTTCTGTGTATGTGGTACTGAGGAATTGAACCGAGGGCTTCATGCATACTAGGCAAGCACTCTACCACTAAGCCACATTCCCAGCCCAGGACTGACTGTCTTATTTCACAATTAGTCGGGTGATTCTTTCTCCATCCTCATATCTACTCTTCTTCCACCTGAAACTGAAAGCTATTCCTCTAATTGTTCCTCTCTCAACCCCATGTTAGAGAATGATAATCTAGAGACCTTGTCTGCACAAGGACTGCATGTTTACCATAATACAGATCCAGCATCAAAGCTCTATTCATTATGTGGAGGGGGAAGAGGAAAACAAGAATTTATTTCTATACTCTGCTTTGCTCCAATAGTGTGTGAAATACTTCAGTTAGCAGGGTTGCTATTGGAACCTGTCATTTAGGGCCTGGTACAGACGGTCTCTGACTTTGGCAATGCCTGGTCTGTGAGCTACTGGCCTTTGGGGGAGCATTGCTATCTTTGTCTACCTGCAGCAACTGCTTGGACTCACAATAAGATGGTGGATTCATTGTCAAGCTAATGTTGTCCCTGTCTTTTCAGTTGTGACATCCAGCACTAGGGTGAACAGCTTCCTCACATGCTGGATTTCAGGTGGGAGCCTTCCTCATCGTACTCTGGATTTATCACCTGTGGCATTTTCCCTTGTCTTCTCTGGGCTTTGCAGCTCTGGTGTCCCACTTCATACTTCACTATGCTATATGTCATCCTTTCAGAGCTTGTTTATATTATAAACTCTAAATTCAATCACTGAAAACTTCATTAATTACAATACCCTGGTATGTTTTTTTGTATCTGGGACATCATGTCTGGGCTGAGATACTGAAATATGGCATGTTGGTGCAGCTGTGCTGGCCCCTTCCAACCCCTACTGATTTGCATGTGCCCAGAACACACCCACTACCCTGAGCAGTTCTTGAAAGCTGCTCACATCCTGTGCAGGAGTCAGTCCTAGTCAGCACACAGCATGGACATGAAGGCCCCTGCTCAGTTCCTGGGGCTCCTGCTGCTCTGGATTACAGGTAAGGAAAGACTATGCTGAGGATCTCCTCAGTCTGCTGTAGTCAGTGATGCTTGGCTGTTTATGAAGCTTTCTTATAACATGCTTGATTCTATGTATACTTATTACTTTTCCAATGGCAGGTACCAGATGTGACATCCAGATGACCCAGTCTCCATCCACTTTGTCTGCATCTCCTGGAGACAGAGTTTCCATCACTTGCCGGGCCAGTCAGGGCATTAGCAATGCCTTAAGCTGGTACCAGCAGAAACCAGGGGGAGCTCCAAAGCTCCTGATCTATGATGCAAAGTATTTACAATCCGACATCCCCTCCAGATTTAGTGGCAGTGGATCTGGGACAGAGTACACTCTCACCATCAGCAGTCTGCAGCCTGAAGACATTGCCACATATTACTGTCAACAGTATTATGATTACCCACCCACAGTGATACAAGCCATAACATAAACCTCCAGGAAGCAGAAGTGTGAGCCTGGGCTGTCCCAGCTGCTTTCTTCATGCTTCCTCTTGCCAGAGCTGTCCTAGAATCATAGGACAGGAATCCTGCCCAGGCTAGCCTGGACCAGCGAGCTTCTATATCTCAATCTTTGGAGTAAGTGTAATTATAGATGTGCTATACTGGCACTGTGCTAAATGTTGAAATATTAATATTACATTCCAGACTATAAATATGGAAATACTCTGACTTTATCCAGGTTATTTTATTCTTGAATAGATATTCACAATGTGCACAAAGACACTTCGAAGTTATTTCAAAACTTTTATTTTGAGAGTTTTCAATACTTCATGCATGAATTTCATTAACAAGTAAAGACAGTTTTCCACTTCCTTTTTCTGCTTCAGGTCTTTTGTGCTTTTTATCCAATCACTTTTCTTATTGCATTTGGAGAACCTCAGTACAATTTTAGGTACAGAAGGTAATAGTGAACATTTCATATTTTAATGCAGCTTGAGTGGTAAAATGCTAAATAACTATATAAATGAGTACAAAGTTCGTTTCAGAGTTTGGCTATTTATTAAAACAGGTATTTTCCATTATTCCTGACCTGCTGATATGTAATGGATAGCTGTTGATGCTATTAGAAATATTGTTTCACATAAAGGTAGACAGCTATAGTTTTTCTCTTTAACTCAATCAGAATGATGAACTGCAGAGATCAGTTATCTAATTTTAAAAGAGATTTCTACTTGTGGAACATATTCGACTTGATCAACATACATTGCCTGAGAAAAATAAGGAATGAGAGAGAGAGAGAAAGAGAGAGAAAGAGAGAGAGAGAGAGAGAGAGAGAGAGAAGCAAAGTAGGAGATGGAGATGAATGGAAGGAGAAAAAGGGGAGGTTAAAGGAGGATAAATTTAGTTTATTTCTATTTTGTAAATCCTAGTTCCACTTAGCAATCAAGCTGAAATTATCAAGAGAAACACTGAATACAAACAACACTGTTGGCACTGGTATCCAGCCATTCTGTGCTCTCCTGCAAGGTACACTGAAGGTGAGATGTTTCTTGAGCTTAGTCCCTCTGTCCTCCAGACCAGCTCCCACCAAGAATCACAGCAATGTTCCTAGCTCACTGAATCTTCTCTGTTTTAATCTCAAGAATCAAGGAATCTTTGACAGTCAGAGGAACAACACTGATGTCTTTTATTTATAAAAATAAAAATGGAGAAACCTCAAGATAAAGCAGATCTTCCTTAAGTCAGAAGCCCTCTGATTCTCAGATTGACAAGTGAACATATGCATGCAATTTATGTATCATATTTATGTATATATAACTAATATATGAGATACAGTACATAATAATTAAATATAAATTATATAAAATATATTATGTGTTATTTTGTATATATGATGTATTATTAGATATTAGTCTATGATTTTTCTGATTTTCCCTATTTTATTGTTTTCACATTTTTTGTAAAGTTGATATGTAAGGGGTTACAATTAAAAATGTAAGGTAATGAATAGAACTCTTTTTGAATAGTTTCCCCCTCTCCCTCACTATCTCCAATGTCTACCTTGCCAACTACTCCCCCAGCCCAAGTTGTAACGTTCATTTCCAATATATTGTCTAATAAGTATTATTGTCACATTGTTTTGTTATTATATATTATGTCATTTATGTATCTTCTTAAGATTTAACAAATTTTTAAACAATGTATAGGTGAACTCTTTTATTTTATAAAATATTGTCCTACTGATTATAACTTTACCTGGAAATATATCCAATTAATCATAAGGAATAACTTGAGGAAAAAACTTACTCTGAGTTTCTATGGTGGGTATTGAAGTTTTCACTACTAAATATTATGAGCTAAGTATTAGGGAAAAGGTATGCAAAAAGGTGAATTAACAGCAAGTTAAAATGACAAACATAGGGCATCTCTCTTTTATAGGCAATGTTTTAACAGTGGAAGTAGGAGGAAATGTGTTGAGGAGTTGGAGATGTACTTCAGGGGTTTGTTGCCGTTGAAGAAAATACTTAAGATTATGAGACATATGATCCTATGAGTGAAAATAGCCAAGGGAAAAATTGGTCCATGGATGAAAGAAGGTAAAATCCCAGAGAAAGATACAGCAAAGTGTTCAACACTATTGTAACAATTACACAAATGAGGATGCTGAAGCAGCCAATTAAGGAACTTAGCAGCTGCCACACTCCATAAAGCATGGAAGGGCGGGCCACCAGGGAACATTGTTTGACCTCAGGCTCACAGGATAGCAGTTGGATTGTGTCTATGGATGTGCATTTTATCTTGAGTCTACAGAGACATACATGGAATAGAGTGGCACAGATGAAAATGCTTTCTTGAGACACATGTTGCAGATGAAAAAGGACACTTTAATTTTTATTGGGGAACTAGAAGACAGACAGGGAGGACATTCAGAGCCAGAGAACTTAAGCCAAAGTAAAGAGTGGATCACACTGTCCTACAAGACATGCATGGTTGATGACCAGCCATCCAATGAACACAACTTGAAGGAACAGGAAAAACCCAAGGTGTGTTCTAGGTAGACCTGATTTTCTTTTTCTTTTTCTTTTTTTTAGTATTCCACAATCTTTATTTTTTAATTGTGAACATACTGTACAGAGGGGTTACAATTACATAGGCAAGATAATGAGTATATTTCTTATCAACCATTGTAGACTCCTCCTTTGTTTACCCTTCCCATCCCTTTCCCAGCCTCCCCCTCCCCCACCAACGTTGAAAAGTTCGTTTTCGACATGACAACTTGTACTTCTCATTGCTGCATCGGTTCTACTTGTATCCTTATTTAAACGACTTGTTTTTCCCCTTCCCCTTCACAAATTACACCGAGATCAAATACAATGAAAACAGTGGTTAAACTGAGGGGTAGGGACATACAAAGCAACAAAAATAATCTTATAAATGCGTTAGAAACAATCGCATGAAAGAAAAAAAAAACATTTGAATACATATCTTAGGGTTCATTTCCCTCACATCAACTTATCTGACCTTTTCTGCTTGACTAATACATATACTAGATATTGCAAATAAGGTAAACCATGGGACCTATGTTTCTTTGGGCTTGGCTTACTTCACTTAATATAATTTTTTCGTAGCCTTTCCATTTCCTAACAAATGGGGCAATGTCATTCTTTCTGATGGAGACATAGAATTCCATTGTGTATATATACCACATTTTCTTGATCCATTCATCTACTGAGGGGCATCTGGGTTGGTTCTGTATCTTAGGTATGGTAAATAATGTTGTATTAAACACATGTGCTGGTAGCTTTAGTATCGTCTACACAAGCCATCTTTATGTTCATGATTCGTACCTGAGGCTCAGGTCATAACAGTCTTATTACACAAATTGTGAAGTGGTTGATCTCCACTCTCATATCCACTCTTCATTCCTCCTGAATCATAGCCATTCCTAAAATGTCTTGGTCTCAAACCCAGGTGTGGGGGGACGTTGTATGTACCAGGAGTGGATGTGTATCAACAGACAGGTCCACCTTCAAAGTTCTCATTAAATGCAGTTAAATAGAAAGGCATGAGTTTTACAGTTTCATTATAGCTTCCTTTGGCTTCAAAAGTGTAATATTTCAGGCCGCAGATACATCATAACCAGGGTCATAGTTGGTGAATCTCTCAAATCCAGATCCACATGCAGTTCATTTAGTGAAGGATGATGAAGAGAACTCTGACTTTGGCAGGGACTTTCCCTGTGTGTGAGCTTCTGACTATGAAGAGCAGTGTTATTTTGTGTACCTGCAGAAGCTGGGACTCACAATGATGAGAAGTCGATTCACTGTCATGACAATGCCTTGCTAGTGGCTCCCCAGAGTGACATCCTGCACTAGGGTGGACAGTGTCCCCACATGCTGGTCCTGATGTGGGAGCCTTCCTCACTGCGTTCTGCCTTCACTGTCTGTGGCAGTTTTTCCTTGCTTCCCATGTTAAGGATGTCTTCTCCATTCATTGTGGATTCATTGCCTTGCTCACCCTTTACTGTGTTTCCTTTCATCAAATCTGAATCTGCTGGGACCACAAGTTCTAGCCCAGTTATTAAAAAATGTTATTCTGAACTGGAAGACATGATAGCATAAGAACATGAAGGTTCATGAAGCAGAAGAGACTGAAGTAGATGTGAGTTCTTGGTTTAGGGAACATCTCATCTTTAAGGGGGGGTCTTTTTGGGCTATTGATAGGAGACAGGAATGTTACCTGAGAGATTTGGAGACTGCTAGCTCAGAAATTCATGAAGATCACTAAGCTACATATATAGCCATGTCTTTCAAATTTTTCCAACCCGGCTGATTTTCATGTGCCCTGAGCACAGCCCACTGCCCTGAGAACTTCTTCAGAGGCTGCTTACACCCTATGCAAGAGAAGGTTCCACTCAAAAAACAGCTTGCACATGAAGGCCACTGCTCAGCTGCTGGGGCTCCTGCTGCTCTGGCTCCCAGGTAAGGAAGAACAATGCCAGGGAATACTCTTCTCATATTAACAGAGCAGCTTGAGGCTTCGTGGAAGTACTTTGATAATATCATTAATTAAATGACTAATTGTTTTAAGGTTTCCAATGTCAGGTGTCCATTGTGATGTCCAGTTGACTCAGTCACCATCCCTGCCTGCATCTCTGGGAGAGAGAGTCACCATCACTTGCAAAGCCAGTCAGGTCATTAGCAATTATTTACATTAGTAGCAGCAGAGAGCAGGGAAAGCTCCAAAGCTCCTGATCTATTTTGCACCTACTTTGCAATCTGGGGTCCCATGGAGGTTCAATGGAAGTGGATCTGGCACAGAGTTCACTCTCAGCATCAGCAGCCTGCACCCTCAAGATTTTGCCACTTACTATTGTCAGCAGGGTAATTATTTACTTACTCCTGTGACACCAGTAGAACAAAAGCCTCCCAGGGAAGCAGAAGTGAGAGCCTGGGCTGCCCCAGATGCTTACCCTGGTGCTTCCAACTGCTGACAGAACATCTCAGATGCAGCCCCCATTTTTAAGGTCACTGGAAAGCACTGGGAGATAGGTTCTGGAGTCAATTGCAGACCTTAACTCTCTGTACTTCTGCTCATCCCAAGCAGCACACACCTGACACTGCCTCTTCTGTGACTTACAAAGAACACTGCTCTGTACTCATATATGGTCCAGACTGTCCTACAATTCTGCAGTCAGTCAATAATGAAGCCATTCTAGATATGTCAGGACAGGTTTTTAAAGGCAAGGAAAAATTCCTTGTGAAAATCATTTTAAAAACAATTTTTGAAGAAAAATAGTCATTAAAATTTACTTGAAATCAATTTTGTATTGCCATGAGATAATTTTATTTGAGGTACAATATGAAGTTTGGGGATGCTAAATAATTAAATAAACACATGAGTTTATAGTAATTTAAACATTTATTTATTTCTTGTCAGGGATTTTTTTTTAGGAAATGTATTTTTAAATACTCATTTCAACTCTCATGTTAAAACATGCAACATTTTAATCTAGTTCTCAGAAAATTAATTTATTTTGATATTGAGTAACATATTATTGTTTTACACTGCCATTGTCTAAACCATAGAAAGTAGAGTTGAAAAATATGTTTTTAAATAACTTCAGGAAATATCAAGAAAAAATTAACTAATACTTTGTATCAGGTTTTGGAAGGTTTGAACATATTTTTTTTTCTGGTGCTTGATCTTAGAGGAGTTATTCAGAGAGCAGATATTCAAAGCACCCTTGGCTTCTGGCCTAGTTAAAATAAATGCAAACTGAAGAATGGAAATAAATATATGTGAATAAATAAAATACATTTAAGACACTTGTGGAGTCATGTACTGGGTACAGTTCCAGAGTGACCCATATTATATCTATATTTATCAGAGTAATCATAAGTGACTTCCCCATATCCTACAGACATAGTGAGAATGATAAGTTCAGATTTAGTAATTAACATGCATTCTTACACATGGAAATGTATATGGAAGGGAGGAGGGGGATTGGGAGGGATAGTTCAGAATGATGAAAGGGTGATAGGTAAAGATGAATTGTCTTCATAACCTTGAATCTTTATGGACATCATTTTGTACTACTACTGTTGGAGAGCCAACATGGCCTGGTGCCAGCCAGATCGATGAATAAACATACCCTTTCCCTGAAAAAACAAAACAGAATTTAAGATACAACATTTGTATGGAGTTCTCTCTTGTCCACACTCTCACTTTTGTCCACGTTCCTTGCAAACTTATATGTGATTGGAAGATATCCTGTCTAAATCAGAATATAAACAGGAAAGCAGAAAGGGAGATGAGTGCTGGGAAATATATTTCCTGAAGAGACTGTGCTGATGGGAGCCCACAGCTGATGACCCAGTGAAGTCACAGCCCAACTCTCAGAATATATCCAGGAGGGCCTTGTCCAAGACCAGGTACACACATGTCTCTTCCATAGTAAGAGTTTCAGTAAGTCTCAGTTCATAAAAAATGAGATATTATCATGAAATATGTAAGGGACCATGCTCAAATAGAAATATTTCTTGACAAAAAGGAAGCAAACACAACTAAACATGTATGTAGTAGTATTTTCTTTCCTACTCAGAAAGTGTCCAGAATTCAGGATCATCAATAGCATCCCTGAGAGCATGTTACAAATACAATATTACAAAACCACTTCACATCTACTGAGTGTGAATCTGCCTTTCAGCAAGTTAACAAGTAATCTCTTTAAGATTTTGGAAGTTGTATCATAGGCAGAGAGCTGCTTTTTACTCCTCAATTAGCCTATTAAGAGCACTTCTATTTAAACCAGATTTCTCTGTCTCTCACACACATCTGTGCACACACACACATAAACATGACACACCTGTGTCAGTCCTTCCCTATAACAAAGTAACTGGCCTAAACTCTGAGTAAAGAAGAGTTTGTTTAGCATACAGTTTTAGATGCAGAAAGTCCCCGATGCTGAATCTTCATCTGTCTGTACTCTTGTGAGGCCTGTCCTGCATGTGGTACAATATGTTGTGTTAATAAAGAGAGAACCAGTTGTAATTTGAGTTGGCCAAGCCTATGGTTGTCTTCATTTGATAACAGGTGACTATTATGAGAACTGCCTCACTGCATGAGAGTATCTTTAACCCTCTGGTGAGCAGTGGTATAACCTCCAATCCCATAATATAATCACTTCCCACAAGTCACCTCTTCCATTGGCCAGTTTCATCCTGCATGTGCTCTTCCTTCCTTCAGGTGAAGTAGAGACTGAAATCTCTGAGACAAATAAACAGAGACTGTTTAGATTTGGACTGGAGACATTTGGAGATTTTATATTAATTTAAGATAATCAAAATTATATATATATATATATATACATATATCACTTTAAATAGTTACACAAAGTGTTCTCAACTAAGTATGTCAATTAATAAGTACACTATATTTTGATCCTCTCACCCTTCTGTTACTCTCCAGAGGAAACTTTAAGAAATCATTTGATTAATTTGCTGAAAAATACATTGTGGAAGAATAACAGGATATTTAGTGAATTTAAGAAACTGTTACAATGTAGGGATTGGGAAGGTAGCTTAGTGGTAGAGCGCTTTCCTTGCATGACTGAGGCCTTGGGTTCGATTCCTCAGCACCACATAAGCAAAAAGAAAAAAGCTGGAAGTGGCGCTGTGGCTCAAGTGGTAGAGCGCCAGCCTTGAGCTGAAGAGCTGAGGGACAGCACCCAGAGTTCAGGTCCCAAGACCAGACCCCTCCCCCCCCCAAAAAAACCTGTTACAATGTAATTCTATGCTTCCATCAGAAAGAATGACATGGCCCTATTTGTTAGAAAATGGAAAGACTCAGAAAAATATTATATTAACATATAAATTTAAAATATATATTATATATTATACGATATATTATATAATAAAATATATAATATATATAATATAATACATATACTATAAAATATAAAATAAAATTAAAATATTATATTAAAATATTATATTAAGTGAAATAAGCCAGGCACAAAGAAATATAGTTCCCATGGTTTCCCTTATTTGCAATAACTAGTATATATCTGAGACAAGCAGAAAAGTTCAGATAAGATGATGTTAAGTGAAATGAACCCCAAGATAAGTACAAAAGTGCTTTTTTTCTTTCTTGCTACTGTTTCTAATGTATTTATAAGGTACCAGGTGATTTTTTTGTTTTTTGTATGTCCCTCCCCAACGGTATAACCCTTGTTTTCGCTATATTTGATGTTGGTATAATTTGGGGAGGGGAAGAGAAAAAAACAAATTGTTTAAATAGGGATACAGGTGGACCCATTGCATCAATGAGATGTACAAGATGCTATGTTGAAAAAGGAACTTTACAATTTGCGGGGTGGGTGGGGTGGGTGAGGGGGAGTGTAGTTGTGGAGGTGGGAGGGAAAGGATGGTAGGGGGAAAAACAAAGGAGGAGGCAAAAATGCTTCATAAGAAATGTACCCATTACCTTGCTCATGTGATTGTAACCCCTCTGTACAGTATTTTCACAGTAAAAAACTTATTAAAAATTATATTGAATTCAGAGTTTCAATTGCAATCATTTCTACCATTAGATTAAAAGACCATTAGGATAAAAAACCATTAGGGTACTTACTGCCTGTAAGAGAAAATTTTGTTATGCTTGTCAATTCTATACCCTACATCTTAGTATGAATATCCTGGAAAATAGAGGTGCTAACATTTGTAACTAGCATCCCTAAGAAATAACTTGGTAACTGTGGTATGCCTCTTCATCTAGCTCAACTCTGTGCTTTTACTGGTCACCTGTTTTGAGAATCAGTTCCAATATTATCAGTGGAGTCCTTTCCATGCTACAGGCATCATGGATTTTATTGGTTATCACCAGTATTTTGATTGGAAAGGGTGTGGGGGGGAACTCCCAGTCTATTAAAAATGTAGTTAGTTTTGGCTCACCCCAACAACACACACAAAATTTATGAATACACCCATACCTAGTTCATAGCAATCTGTACTTTAACAAGGTAACAAGGATCCATGCAAGGTTTGATAATTAGGCTTTAGGAGGAGTTGATTTTTGCTAAGGAGATCTTCAATTGGCAAAATTATTTAGACACACACAAATATTTATCAATTATATGATCTCAGGCCTAAGAATAATAATGATATTTAGAAATTTGAGGATATATCAAGATTAAATATTATTCAAAATATTGCCTATAATCCCCAAAAGTGAGAGAAGTGGATTCAAGTTGAGGTTTTACTGGCCAAATGTTATCAAGGAGATATCTCAAAAGAAATCTAGGCATTGGGGAAATCTCCTATAATCATGGTTACCAAGGCTGTACAGATAGGTGGAACATGGCCTTGTCTGTATCTCCTAAACAAAACTAAAATGAACAAGTTTAGGAGTAGTGCTCATTTTAGAGGACTTGTTTATCCAGCTCAAAGCAGTGTTGAATGTTCAGAATACAAACTCTTTAAAAATGTGTTTCCTTGTTGGTATTTTGTGACTAGAATTTCTCTATGTACCTTGACCTCTAGATGTTGGTCATGATCTCTGTAATTCTCTGCCTCTTTAGTCACTGAGGAAAATCAAACAAAATCCAATTTAGAGGCAAACTGAGTGACCTGCATCACAACAATTAAAGGAGCTCCAGCAGGATCATCACCAATTAAAAGCTGATATATATAACTGTTAGCAGTTGTTTACCAGTGGTTCAATGTGTACTATTTTTGTTAAAAACCAATTGCATAACTACGGATATTTAAAAAAACAATGGGGAAAAGGAAAAATGAAAAAGTCTTAAAAATATATGAATATGTAGAATAAATTGTAATTCATTTATGGAAACATGTAAGGAACAGTTAGCATTCACTTTATCCATATTATTGTAACACATGATGTAATGTACAATAATACATAGCAATGTATAAGTAGAGAAATAAAAATGATATTTTAATACAAGTCGTTATGTCAAAAACGAACTTTACAACTTTCGTGGGGGGGCCAGGGAGGATTGGGTGTGGGGGGGAGGATGGGAAGGGATGGGAAGGGGAAACAAAGGAGAAGGCTGCAATGCTTGATAAGAAATGTACTCATTATCTTGCCCATGTAATTGTAACTCCTCTGTACAGTATTTTCACAACAAAAAATGATATTTTAATAGGTAGTACAGATTTAACAAAAGTGATTAATTCACAGTTAACAAATAGGCATACTTATACATATATTTGTATGTGTTTATATGTGTCATCTATAAAACATGTGCCTAGATTTATATATTTATTGTGTGCATAGATACACATCTATATATGCACACATCTATATGTGTAGATATATGTACATATAAATGTCCAAAAGTAGCTGCAGAACCGTGGCTATAATACACACACAGAGAAATTATCAGGGATCCAATGAAACATAGTTTATCCTTTGCAGAGACTGTCTTAAAGAAAGGCTTGTAAAGTCGTTTAAGCATACAGGTGGACCTGTTGCAACAATAAGAAGTACAAGTTGTCATGTCCAAAACGAGCTTTACAACGTCGGTGCGGGGGGGGGGGGAAGGGGGAGGAGGGAGGGGGGGGGGGGGGAGGCTGGGAAGGGATGTGAAGGGTAAACCAAAGGAGGAGGCTGCAATGCTTGGTAAGAAATGTACGCATTATCCTGCCCATGTAATTGTAACCCCTCTGTACAGTATGTTCACAAATCAAATAAATAAATAAATAAAAAGGAAGGCTTGTAAGAACACACAGCATATAGACTTTTGAGGAAACTATGTATATATGGCCCAATAACCTTCTTTCTATACTCACTATTTTCTTTGAAAGGTTTAAGGAAACAAAAAATTCTGATCATCTTTATGATGGTTCTCTTAGTTGGATTGTTTGGAGATAAAAAATATACTTCTGGACCTGGCTGTGAGAGATTCTCTGGAGAGAATTGACTGAGAGAGAAGACCCACCCTATTATACACAGCCACTTCCAAAGGACTGAGATCTCATCAAATGAAAAGGGAAGGAAGATGTAGCTACCAAGTAGAACATTTCCCCTGTTTCTTGGGTGCCATGTTGTGAGCTTAACCAAACTGCCCACATGGTAGACTAGACTTTGTAACCTAAGAGTTGCAATCAAGTACTGTGCCCTTTATATTGCTTTTACTGTGGTCTTAGCCACAACAAGGGAAAGCTAACTAACACATCTTCACAACTTAGGCCCTAGCTTACTTTCTAACCAATGATGGAAGATGAATTAGGCATCAGAAAGCATTTGGGGTCCTCAGCAATGAATTGAGAGAAATGGCTATTATTTGTAGTGGTAATAATATGTTGAAGTAGATTTTTTTAACTCAGAGTTTCAATGTGGGAATGTATGTATTAGTGAAGCAAAGACATTAAACATGAATCTAATCCACAAGTTCATGGATTGTATTTTTCTTCAGGAGTGTGAGATGTGGATGTAAACAGCACAAGAGAGCTGCAGGCCATGAGGTGGATTCTGAGCACTCATGACTGGGTGCTATGATCTCAGAGCAGGAGGAAAGGGACAGCTCTTCTCTGCAAGAGATAACTGAATCCCAGTAGACAGGGTTCATCCTAATGGCTCCATCTTCCACTCCACTCTTGGAAAGGTTTGCGAACTTCTGCCTTAAGACTTCTCAATAGTTTGTGAACAAATCCATATCCTGAGATAAATCATCTTGTGCTGAGC